AAGCAATTGGGATCCTTCAAGCTCTTCAAAGTAGTCACTGGCTGATCGGTGTTGCTGTCAGAACATTGTACCATTTGTACGGTTGATGTAGCGGGTTGATAGGTCGATGACATTTCACTAAAGTGAGGTACAATATTATAAAAAAATATTGCATTAAAAGAATATTTAAAGTAAAAGTACAATCATATATACATAAATTACATAAAGTAAATTAAAATACATTTGCAACTTAAACCCCAAATTCATGAAAAAATTTAAATAAATTTATAATGCTTTATATACAGAAATTTGTGTAAAAATACAACTTAATAAAGATTTTTAAAATTCTCTATTATTTTTTATGAATAAGGTCATTTAATATCTATGTACTTTTATTTACAAACTAAAAATCACCTTCCTGCCTCGTCAGAATCACTTTCATTTTCCTTTTCACATGACTCCTCACAAATATGAAAAATATTTTCAAAGAAAAACTCTGAGTTTGGATCGTATCTACAAAAAAATAAATAATATTAAGTAAATCAGGAAATAAAACATACATATGTACATACATATTAGGGTGGTCCCTATAATATCGGTATCTGAAATTTTATGGAATAACCCTTTATTTTGTTCTGCATACAAAATAAAGACCTCCACGAGAATTTCAAAATTTATATAATAAATAAAGGCTGTGTGCCAATCGATAACTTTTTTCTACAAGGTGAGACGGAATGGAAAAATTTACTATTATGTAAGAATAAATTGAATTTTACTGTGCCAAATGCAAAGTAAAATTTTGACAGTTGACAGCATAATTTTGGTATTTTGCTGAAATTGTTAAAATTTATATTTATTTTATAACTTGCAAGTAACGTAAACATTTTTTGTGCTTTTTCAGCTTTCATTTTGATTTTGACTCATGATTACCGCCAAACAATATTATGTGCCCAAAGAGCTAGGTAAAATTCTGACGTTCGTATTCACCACGAGAAATGTTAAATTTTTGGTTCGATCCGTCAAAATTTCATCTTTTCTATCATTGGCATAGGCCCAAAATGTAATTTTTTTTAAATCGCAAAAATTCGACGAAATTTTGATATGGTCTCATAAATTTTAGATATTATTGAAACTTATTCGTATATGTAAATTCATAAACTCGCCGATTCATAGTTGGTTTAAGTCAATTTTTTTCCAATTAAAAAAAAATTAAATTATTTCAAACGAGACGATTCCTAATATTTTTTTAACTTTGAAATTATCGTGGATGTATTTATTTTGTACGTAGAATAAAATTTTTTTCCAAACCTGGTAGCGACTCCTAAATTGTTTTTTTTATCTCTACGTATTCGTGGATATCTTTACTTTGCACGTAGAACAAGGACCACCCTAATACATATATATTACAAAGATTAACAAAATATACACAAAGTAGAAAGGAAAAATTAAAAGAAATGATAGTAGAACGGAAAATATTAGAATAAGCGCCATAGTAAGCACAGCTTAGTAGTTTGTAAAGGATAAATCAAACGTCCTTTGTCTAATTTCTAGCACAAAGCAAATGATAAAAAAAGAACACTTCTTTTTTAAATGGTGATCAGTTGATGCTTTGTTGCTGTTCTTATAACAGCACCGAAATTTCGCAACCGTCCATATTTTATATCCCGACATGAGATTTCGAGTCTCAATTTCCAAATAACCACTTTTACAGGACAATTCTAGCTAAGGTCGATGCAAGTCTTTTGGCAAGATTTTGTTTATTCTGGCAAAAAAGTCTTACGAAAAAAGCTCCCTTGCCAACTTTCATGGTGAAAAGCTCTTTTGACAGAAAGCACTTGACCACGTTCCAATGGAAAATATATTTTCTTTAATTTCATATAATTTTTTGGAACTGATTATATTTTTTTTCTGATTTTTTAATTAAATTTTTTTGGTTTTTTTAATTAAATTTTCTTTACATCGTTATTGTTTTAAAAAGAAAAATTTGTAAATTTATTTTAACTTCATTTAATTTTTAGAAACTTATTTTGATTATTATATCTTTTTTATAATTTTTTTTTTTCTAAAATCCAAACAGAATAAAAGCATAAACAGACGGCAGCGTTGATCCGGATTAAGTCCGAGTTAATTCGGATCAACGCTGCCGTCTGTTTAAGCATTTACTCTAAGGACCTCCTCGTTAGCAGATCTATAAATTAGTATTTCCAAATACAGAAAATAGCTTAGATAAATAGTTTCTGGAATTGGCAATTGTCTTACGAAAGACTTGTGTGTTCCAAAGACTGTGGTGAATCGCCCATTCTGTAGCTTGTTTTCGTGCTGTCGAAAGTGGTCTTGAGATCGACAAATGGAGAGTGTGTGTCAATTCTTTTATAGCGGGTCTTTTGGTTTGCCGTATTGTGAATAGCTGGTGTACGGTGGATGTACCAGACCAACCATTTCATTGACAAAGGACTGTAGCCTTTCCCGCAATACGCTCGATAAGACCTTATAGCCGATGCCTAGAAGGCAGGTCCCGCGGCCTATTGCCTGGTTTGGGCAAAGCACCCTTAATTTTCAGTCGTCGACAGGGCGCTTGGTCTTATCTTCACCACTACTTTCAGTGCAGCTACCATTCGCAAAGGGCAATAAAGTGTTCCCTTTATAATTTAAGTATATTCAGGACATCGGTCACAAGATTGCCGTGTTTTTTCTTACAGGAGTTCACCCTGGTCTTGAAGCCTTCCGTAAGTCGCTTAACTTTCTAATAAAGTTTTCCGGCGTTTTACCTGTCGGCCAGCATTTCAAGCTCTTTACACACACTTTTTCCGACTCTTCGGGTCCCTATATCTACTATACCACATTGCTAGCGTTGCGCCGGATCGCAGCATGTCCATTTAGGTGGAATTTCTTCTCTACAGTTTTGTGACGTTCTTCATCGTTCCAGTTGTTCTTTCGGGCTCGCTGATATCCGACGACGGCGGTGTTTATGATTGGTCCACGGATCGAATGTACGTCTAATAAAGTGGAAGCGAGCGTTCCGTCTTATACAACACGATCGATTTGGTTTCTTATTTTTCGATGTGGGGACAACCATGTAAATTATTTCCTCTTTGAACCGAGTGCTTCCTGGCTCGGCGGCGTCGATCAGCTTCAATCAATTAACTCGGGCGCAAATACGAGAGATGTTGAACCCACCCACTGTCTCTAACCAACCACAAATTCAGCACTGACTTTTCACTTCTTCAATTGGCAGTAGTAGCCGCCTGTAGTACTCAAGGCCTCCATGCCCTAACCCGCCATTTTCGGATGGCGACGATGTAAGCCTTAGTCTTAACGAGGACATCAATCAACCGGGCAGAGAAGCACCTTATTAGTGGTTCGGACGTTCCAGGTGATGCCTACAAATCTTAATCCTTGAAATTTTTGTCGTGGTGGTCATGAAAAACAGTTAAAGTACTTTTATTTTCATTGGAATTCTTTTTTACGTGGCGGATGCCAAACCCAGCGCGCAGCCAAGAACTTTTTCTAACTCCATATTTATTTAGAGAGCCCCTTGTCTCCAGATAAAACCGAACAATATATGAACACAAATAATAATAATAATCAATCGGTTCCTTTTACCCCGATATCAGATTAGTGCGAAATTAAATTATATATTAGGCGGATCGCTCCAGGGATTTACAAGCGATGCGGTGACCAGCGAAAATTATTAAGCTGTTACATATAGAATGCACAACAATAACTAAACTTTCCAGTTGATTATATTGTGAACGGACAGTAAAAGCTAAATATATTTCTTTCATACTTACAATCTACCGTGCTGAAAGCAAAGTGCCGCCGACAAGATACCCAAAAGTACAGCGAAAATCATGCCAGGAATGGCGAAAGCGAAGGCAAATTCATCAATATAATTGCGATCTGGCACATCCTCGCGTGCAATGCCCAACCAGCGGTCAGTGCGCTTGAAATTGTCATGATGACTCCGATGACCATAATTGTGAAAGAGTATTTCCGGTGAAATATCAGCGCCAACTGTCTTAAAAGCACACCAATCTAACTTGAAACCAGCATTCTCGAACACTTTTTGCACCGAGGTGCGTTTGTAGGTGCAAGTGGATAGTTTGTAGAGGGGACGTACCTCCTCCTGTAACTCCTTGAGGCGTGATGAAAATTGAGCAGAGCTACCAAGGTGTACAACAACGCTGGAAATTGAAAGTATATAGAAATATTAAATGCAAAAATATATGTAATTTACAATATAAAGTGTTTTATATATAGTACATATGAAAATACTAGCTTTTGCCCGCGGCTCAGCACGCGCTAAGTTCGGTTATGATTTCAAATGTAACAATAAAGAAAATAAATTATATCACCCAAAATAATAACATGGTCAATGTATCGAATTTCAATTAAATTGGCCATTTTAGTATAAAAAACAACTTATATAGATTTCGTATCCAATCTTTAAAAAATATGTACATACATATATTTTTTTAAATTATTTTTATGAGTGACCGTTCTTAAAAAAAGTGTCTGAATAGAAAAAAGTTCAATACTTTTCGTTTCATATCAATAACACTCATTGTTATGTGTCATTTTTCCATTTGTCAAATGGTAACCTTAAATCAATTTGATTTGTTTAAACTGGAGGTACCTCGTCAAAACTGTCTTTGTAGTAAAGCCTTTTTCAACCTGTTTCATGTGAAATCCATATTGTAATATTTCATTAAAGAGACTGATTAAATTTAATTCGAGATGGCAATCCATTTTAAAACTATTCCCGAAAAATATGTTTATTATACCTCTTTCGATGACCATCCATATTGTAGTACTTGATTGAATTTAATAAAAAATTAATACAAAAATTTTCGAAAGAAATGTTTCTTATACCTCTTTCGACTGACATATATATTGTAAGACTTTATTTAAATTAATAAAAAAATGGGATTTTACTTTAGAACAGGTGGCAACCCTCTTCAAAATTTTTTTTACAATAAAGCTTTCTTAAACCTCATTCATTTGCCATCCATATCTAATGTAATACTTTATTGGAACTTACGAAAAAAATCGGATTTGACTTTTAAACAGGTGGCAACCCTCTTCAAAATATTTGCAAACTAAATTTTTCTTAAACCACATTCGTTTGCCACCCATATTGTAATACTTTATTCAACTTAGTAATAAAATTGATTTTGACTTGTGAAATAGGTGGCAATCCACTTAAAAATGTTTTCATAATATAGCTTTTGTAAATTCCGGTTTTGTGACATCCGTATTGTAAAATTTCGAAGAGCTTTCAATGTAAAGTAGTATTTAACTTTTTAAGCAGATGGCATCGCTTTTCATAAAATTAGCTATTTGTTAATCTAAGTCATAAGCTTTCTTAAACCTATTACGTTTGATACCCATATTAAAATATTTTGTTTAACTCGTTAATTAAATGGAATTAAACTTTTTGAACACGTGGCAATGCTCTTAAAGAAAATTTTCGAAATATATCGTTTTTGAACGCCTTTCGTTTGACATCCGCACTCTGTTGTGATACTCTATTTAACTTAATAATCATTCGACTTTAACTCTTTAAACAGGTGGCAACTCTATTATAGAATATTTTCGAAATAAATCGTTTTGAAACCCTTTTCGTTTGACATCTACACTACTGTAATAGTTTGCTTAACTTAAAAAAAAAAATAATTCAGTTTAACTTTTGAAAAAGGTGGCAACTCTCTTAAAAAATATCCATTATATTAATACAGTTATAAACTATCTGTGCGTCAAATTTTTATTGAAACACGTCTGGCCGTTTTAACGCGATAGAGCAACAAACATACTCACACACTCACTCACAAACTTTCACATTTATAATAAATAGTTATTAGTAGGATTTATGTATATTTATCTACCCCTCGCGCTGTTGTGGTCGCAATGGCAGCCTTCCACCCATATTTACTGCCGACTCCATGAATACCACACTCAAATCGTTTTCACTTTCTGGCCACAGATCCTTACGGAAAATGTTGCGTAAATTCTCAACACGTCCCGGATCCATCAAATGCACCCAATTCAAATTGTCTATTTTCATTTGTATAATATTCAACGAAGGCAACTTCTGTGCCACAAATATCGAAAGCTTTGCTGTACGCGTCTCATAGTTTTGCTTATTCAATGCCACAATATCCAAGCGTACTGTCTTGTCGGCCAAACGGTCAGTTGGTGTACCATACAAGAAGCCAGCGTGATACTCGTGACTGTACTTGTAACGCAGCCAGGAGGGTAAATCGGCGTAGCCTTCTAGCGAGACACGATAGCGAAATTGTTCGCTAATAACCTGATGGGTCCAATTGAAGAGTAACGGTTCAATTTTGTAGGAAAACAATTCGCCCACAGCTGCTTGTTCCATGGCGGCGGTGGTGTGGCAGCATGCCAGGAGGAGCACCAACGCCAACATGGACGAATGCAAAAATAAATTGTGTATAGGCATGTTGACGAGACGGCGAGTGGTAGTCGGCCTGAACGAAATTGATTTTTTCCGTTTTTTGCTGCTGCTCAAAACATATTTCGTAGCTATTGATGAGGGGAAAACTTATTTAATTAAAATTTGTGTTTTAAGAAAGAAATACAAATTGTGAATGTACAGAAGCACTTTATAAAAATTAATTTACTTTTTATCAGCGATTTATTATAAATATTCGTAGTACAAAATTTTTCCACAAGCACAAATGCGAAAGCTAACAGCGAAAAGTTCCAAATGAAAATGCTGAAAATTCCATCAGTTGTGTATACGCGTGCATGCTGTAGTAGGGGTTGAGGGGATGGTATACGTAAAATATTTTTACTTCCATATGTATACATACATACATATGTACAGACATATATACATATGTATGTGTGTGTAGGAGTGTTTAAGAAGAAAAGAGAGCAATTCACATTTTCTGTTTACTTATAAGAATTTGTTTTGGGAAATTTTTGTGTATTTTTGCAGCTTCGCGCACCTGTTGATTCCACTGTTTATCGAAAGAAGAATTTTTAATTGAACAATGTGAAAGTTTGTAAGTGCGTGAGTTGCTGCTATTTCACGCAAAAACGTTTGGAAATATTTCAATGAAACATGGCACACAGATAGGTTATAACCTAGATTAAGATATGCGAAATTTCTTTGAGAGAGTTGCCACCTTTTCCAAAAGTTAAAATCAGTTAATTATTAAGTTAAATTAAATATCACAACAATGTGGTTGCCAAACGAAAGTGGGTTGCCAACTGTTCAAAAAGTTAAAGTAAATTTAAATAATAAGTTAAACGAAAAATTTTAATGAGGGTATACAACGAGAGAATTTTTGGAAAGCTTTGTTTCAAAAATATTTTTAAAGCTGCCAAGTCTTTAGAAATTCAAAATCAAAATTCAAAATTGGTTTAAGAAAGTTTTATTTTGAAGACATTTACAAGAGGGTTGCCACCCATTTAAAAGTCAAATCCCATTTTTTCTAAAGTTTTCATAAAATGATGTTAAAGCATGTTTAAAAATTCTTCTTTCGAAAATATTTGTAAAATACGAATGTCAAACGATCCAATTTGGAGAAAGAATTATTTCGAAAATATTTTGAAGAGAGCTGTTAACTGTCTAATCGATAAATTAAATTTAATGTAATGTTAAAATATGGATGACAAACGAGAAAGCTTTGCTACGACAGTTACAGCTACTATAACAAAGGGCGGCCTATGTCTTAATAACGTCGCAACTTCTGCACAGTCCGCCAGCCAGCAGCGATTAAATCTCCACAGTGCAGCAACACTTCCTCGAAAGTGGCTGTCAGATGAAGGAGGACTTGAAACGAACTAGCCGCGAAAGGGACCATCAACGTAGTATGGGCATAGTGAAATACTTGGAAACTGTGCGACAGACGAGTTTGCAAGCGTAGTGGTCGGTATCGTTACAGGACACGGCGCATGGCTGGCGAATGGGATAATCCGATAACGATAGCTGCTTCGCTCTTGCAGGGTTTAGCTGATCTTGACTTTGTGAACAGCCGCGACTTTCAACGCTACGTGGTCTTGAGTTAAAACCAAAAAATTGGCATTCCTGCCGGTGTGCCTATGGAACCTGTATCACAATTGTTACGAATTTTATTTGAGAACAAAATTTCCTTATTTTTTTGCAATTTTGTTATTTTTTTTGAGCTGACTTTACCTAATTTAGAGGCGCTCCAAAACAAACTACTATACAGCTTGAAACCGCTGTATAAAAAAGCGGGTAAACATCGCCATTCTCGCCTTTTAGGTGTGTATGTACTTAAAAAGCTGCACAACCGATGTACGTTAGACCGTACCACCTTATAAGCAAACAAAAAAAAAAGAAAAGATCGCCGCACATCCCTGAGTCTAAAATATATTTGCAAATTTTTCCATTTTTCGGTGACACCTACATATTTTCGGCAAAAATATTTTTTTTTATAGTTCTACTGGATCATCAAATCAAATACCTCCTTGGCAAAAGTATACTGATTTTTGGCCAGCTTTAATTTACTGACGTTAGTGGTGTACGTAAGGGCGGTAGGAACTGAGATGTGGTCGGTAAGTCCTAGAACGGGGTACTTGAGCGCAATGCACTTTGCAAGGATAAAATTTTTCCTCGAGACAAAATCATCCATACCTTAAGATTCAACTGCAAATGCCGAATGTATGACAAAAAATGTAAAAACGCAAAAAAATGTCTTTCGAAATCGCCTTGCAAAAGTACTTTAAGACTCAGGGGTGCACGGCGTACTCTTTTTTTCTTTGTAAGGTGGTCCGCTCTAATGTATGTACCTACATATGCACATATACGCTCAAAACGAATAGACGTTAGCTTAGACAAAGCGTGTCTGAGACGTACATTATGTACATATATGTATCTTAATATGTATGTAAACACATACATACATATGTATGTGGTGTAATAAAATTTGAATATCGCAGAGATGTTCAGTTCACTAATTTAGTCTGCTGGCGGTGATCATTTAAATCAGAATAGTTAAAAGTGCTCTAATTTTAAAAGCTTGCAATTAGATATACATATATGTATGTATACAAGTGCTTTTCAGTAAGATTGTGGCAGTGAAATACTGAAACAACATAAATAATGAAAAATAAGATTAATTGAAAGGTACAAAAAAAATATAAAAAATGTGTGTAATAATCATCAATATAATCAATAATATAATATAATAATCAATATATATATATCAATCGGTATCGCGCTAAGGCCAATTGACCAGGTGGTAGCAGGCGAACAGTTGATTTGAATTTTCTCAAATTATTTGGTCTCAAAAGTATCAGAAATTGTTTAATATTTTTTTCACAAAAATTTTATGTTGGCAAAATGTATTTGCATGTGAAACGTTTTTTTATAAAATAAGAACATTCGCTTAATTCAGGAGCACAAACGCTTGCAAAGAATAAATCTACATATGTTTCTGGTGGCAAAAGAAATTACCAAGAAAGAATGTCGCATAATTTTTTGTTATTTCAATTTCTTTTCAAATTTTTGTTTATGCACTATGGGTCATTTTATCAATTTATGTGGCCAAAAGTCGTGTTTCTTAGTTGCAAAAATAAATTTTTTCTCCTTGGTATTTGACAAACACAGCTTCAAACCAAATAACGGTGTCTTGTGGTTTTGTAAAAGTCGTTGTCTACGAGTATTAGTGAAATATTGGAATCGATTTAGTGTTTTGTTTTTGTTTTGTTACTATTTCCGAACAACCATATTTAAGATAATAATTACCTAAAAAATCAATAAAATACAAAGAATAAAGAGATTAGTAAGCACTTTAAGATCTATAACTTGTTTTAGAACTTTTTTTTTTAGTGAAAAATTCATACTTCTGATATAACCTTTTTTTCTTAAAAATTATATTTGAATAAGCTGGAATATGTTTGCCCTACTTGGCCGTCTTAAACCTATCAAAGAAGTGAAAAATTAAGAATTTGAGTTTAATCTGTAAATTTAATTTTGCGATTTTTTGCGTTTTCTGAGTAGGTATTTCTTATTTGGAGACCATTATATAAATTGCTTTTGTAATTAAGTGACATTTTTTTCTTAAATATAAATATTTAAAAAAAAAAAAACTTTTTCAATAAAACCACAAATTAAAAGTGACCTCAGGGGTTAGAAAAAAACTGTATTCACCAACACCACTAATTAAAAATACCCCTTTCGCCCCATCGGTCTTCAAGGGTTAAGACCCTTCCCCAAATATGTGGAAATCGTGTAGCAATAAATAAAAAAAATCATGTTCTTTTTAATAATCTACTCGCTTGGTCATAATTAATTTTGGCCTCAAAAACAGGTCAAATTACCCATAGTGCAATGGTTGGAATTAGTGATATTTAGGGCTATAAAGAAAAAGTATATAAAAAAATAAAAAATTACAGAATTTCGAAATTGAAAAATCACAAAAGTAAACTTCTAAAAATTTTTGGCAACATTTCCTTATTAAATATGTACATACTGTAAATTTTCAAGGTGTTTTTTAACATATGAATTTTTAAATTTTTGATTTGTTTTTTACAAACTCTAAAAAAAGTTATGTTAAAAAAATTATTATTAAATTTAAACTATTTTTTAATTTAGGGCTTGCAATTCAATTTTTTTTAATTTCAAAAATTATATCTTTACCAAAAAACACCTTGAAAATTTCAGGATCCTTTACGATCAGTGAGCTATATTGTATAAATAAATTGAGCCAAGCATATCGTCCTCTGCATGCCAGAAACATGAATGTGTAAAGATCAAAATTTTGAAAAGTCAAGATTGAAAGTTTTTTTTTTCACGGGACTTAACTCTGCATTCATGTAATTGACATTAGGGGTATTCACGATTCGGTGCATACTATCTAGCATGGTGCATAGATAGCATAAATAGCTTGACTGGCTAATTTGGTTGTTGTTTGATCACATGAAACAATAATAATCATACTATTTATGCATCATGCTAGACAGTATGCACCGGTTCGTGAATACCCCTATTGTGAAATATGTTGTTTCCGTGTAGGCATGGTATTCTGGGTTTTGGTATAACATAGAACATCCAAAGGTTAATCAAGTCAACCCAATAACTCAAAATTGGTAAATCTGCACATTCATGCTTCTGGCATAAGGGTGACGATATGTATAAGTTTTTGCTTTTAAAATTTTTTAAATTTCAAAATTCAGTACTTTTTTATTTTGAATTTTTTTTTTTTTATAAAAAGTCACCTTAAAACGAGGTTAGACTAATATTTTAAATAATTTTTGGGATTTTAAAAAAATAAACTTGCAAAATTTGGGAAATTGTGAAATTGCGAGCTTTCATATTTTTTTTTTATTTTTTTTTTTCATACACAATCTCAAGCAGTGTTCATTTCACGATAAAGTTTCATATAATTTTTTGTCAAATAAATTTTCAATTTTCCCCCACTTTGCCATTGACCTCAGCTCGGTAAAAAATTGAAAGTAATTGATTTATGTACATATATGCGAGCATATTCCATTTCTACAATCAGTGGCATTGTATGCTTGCTAGACTAATTGACGACGATATCTGATGTCAATTAATGTGCACCTCGAGATCTTATGTAAAATACGCATTCAAATTACGTCATTTCTA